ACAAACCGTGAGATCATGACCTGAGCTGAAGTCTGTCGCTTAACTGACCGAGCCCCCAGGTGCCCCTCAGGGTCAAACTTTTTAAAAAGGCCGTTAAGGATGAAGATCTACTCTCTGCTACCTGGCTTGTGTTTGTGTGTGTGCACATGCTCTTCTAACCCTTCCTTCCTGCAATTACCCAATTCACTCTTTGGAAAGAGTTTGAAGAATTCTCTGATTTTTTTGGAGTCATTACCCTTGTGTCCTCCCTGCCCACACCTTCCCTATTGAGCTGACTCCTCCTTATCCCAACCTAGGCCTCACCGCTTTCATTAGCTTCAGTCACTTAAACGCTTTGCTTTTGAAAATGTTGTTTCTATCTTTAGCCAAACAGAGCCTCAGTGCCAAACCACACAAGATTGGGCCCTTAATTTTTATAATCTCTAGATTTTCTTTTTCTATCATACAAGTTAATGGAAGAACTGTGGAAAATTATTGGACGGCATGAATGCCAAAGTAGTCATATTTTTTACTCTCAGAGCACGAAATGTGACTTTTTTCACCTGTGAAATAGATGCTGAAAGATAAATTCGATGCACTGGACCTTCTCTGTGCACAGATGACTTCTTAGGGAAGTTACTGCTTTCTTCTCTCTCATATGGATCTCTTACTCTTTAAATACTGGTGAGCTGCAGATGCCGGGGTCCATGTTAACTTCTGAAAGGACATTCGTTTCATGTTTAACCGTAAATATATGGGATTTTTTTTCGTGTGTGTGTGTGTATGTTTATACAGAATTCCAGTATGAGCATGATCATGCTAGTGAAAACTATGCATGTTTACAACCAAAGGCTGTACGTGCCCCAAACAAGCTGGTTTTCAGCTGTCTTCAGAATCCTGCTGTGAGCAGTGAGCACGAGATGAGGTTTTCAAGCCTCGCCACCGGCCATGTGATCATTTTTTTCATTTTAAAATTAATTTTATGCGTTGATTCTTACTAGTGCTGTTTATCAGCCTCACTGTATGAAAAATAATGCTAATCAGTGTTGTTTAAGGGACAGAAGTTACAAGTTTTGGCAAACTGTTGCTTTGGCTTGAGCACATGTGAGTGGTTTTCTAAGGAAGACTGTTGTTTTGACACCAGGCATGCTGAAGTCCAGCTTATTTTCTGCTACATGTTCTGGTATAATTATTCTACCTTCTTTTGATGGCAGACTCTGAAGATGGCCCAATTTCAAATTGACTAACAGTCAGTACAAAGTAGGCATGAGAAAGTGTAATTACACCTTCAGTTGTAAGATTCTGTCAGAATCACGTAGGTTTTTATAATGAGTCTTAAACCACTGAGCACAGGCACTGACACATAATGCTTAGCAAAAAACTAGCTTATCGAAGTACTGGTAATAAACGATTCTGATGGGAATGTAAAAATTTTCTGAGTTTACACTCACTTTTTGACTTAATAATTTTGCTAACCGACACAAATAACATGGACTCTACCCTGCTTTTTCATATGCTTCTAGATAGTTACAGAAGACTGTTTAAAAAAAAGACTGTTGCAAATGTATTCATTTGAATACCCCCAAAGAAGGAGTGTGATATGGTTATAATAAAGCACAACAGAACAGAATCTTTTTTTAAGTTTATTTATTTTTAGAGAGCATGCAAGTTGGGGAGGGGCAGAGAGAAAGAGAGAATCCCAAGCAGACTCCACCCTACCGGCACAGCACAGAACCCGACGTTGGGGCTTAAACTCATAAACCGTGAGATCATGACCTGGGCTGAAATCAGACACTCAACTGACTGAGCTACCCAGGCGCCCCAACAGAATCTTTTCAAATAAATTTTAGGCATTTGATATTCTAGATAAGATTTTATAAGTGTAAAATGGCTCTATTATTTTATCCATTTGTCATGCATCAAGGCACAGGGATTGAGCAGAGAAAGTGTGATCACAGTTCACACATGTATCTTTACTTTTAATTTTGCTTTTTCCCAGTCACTGAGTATAGTTTGAATCAACACCCCAGAACATTTCATGTCAGAATGTTCTGCTGTGGGAGAGATGTCCTGTCAAATTGAAAATACCTGTCCTTGGGGAGCCTGGGTGGCTCGGTTGGTTAAGCATCCAGCTCTTGGTCTCGGCTCAAGTCATGATCTCAAAATTCGTGGGGTCGAGCCCCATGTTGGGCTCCACGCTGACAGCACAGAGCCTGCCTGGGATTCTCTCTCTCTTGTCTTTCCCCTGCTTGTATGTGTGTGTTTTCCCTCTCTCTCAAAATAAATAAACATTTGAAGAAGTAGAAAATACCTGTCCTTTAGTCACCGTAAGTGGATTAGAATTTTAGAAAAAAGATAGACATAAATACAAAGCAGTTAGGATTAAGTTTCTAAAATAATTCATTTAATTGCACTTAGGATTATTGTGTCAAAAAACTTAATAGTTTATAATGAAAATATCAATTTACACTTCCTTTTTAGGAAGGTCTCTGAGAAGGGTCAGTTTCTTTGCTGTGAAGTGTCTGTCCGGTCTTGCTATGCTTCTGTGCCCTGTGGATCCTCCCTGTGCTGGGCAGCCTACAAGCAGCGTGTCTCAGGAGGAGTAGATCAAGCGTCTTCTGCTCTATATGCTGACGAAAAGCCCTTGCCTTCTTCTGAGTCTTTGGGATCTTTTGTATTCTCCAGGGAAGGAAACAGATAACCCTGTCTTCCCTTCTTCCCTTGCTTTTAATGCACCCGTTGATCCCAGCTTCTCATGTGGGCAAGAGAATGTCAGCAGCTGGTCAGAGGCATCAAGCATATTGACCCTTGACCTGCCCTAAGCAGGTAATAGAGCACAAAAGACAGTCATATTAGCTGTAATGTAACTTCTTAAAAAATAAAGTATGTATTTGCATATATGTTTGTATGTCTGTGTATAAGAAACTAGCAAGCCTTTCTTCAGATAGTTGAATCATTCCTTGTTCTCTTTCTCCTTACTTCTCACTACTGCACTTGACTAGTCTTTAAACAGAGTTGAAGGGACAGCTGGGTGGCTCAGTCGGTTGAGCGTCCGACTTCAGCTCAGATCATGGTCTCGCAGTTTGTGAGTTCAGGCCCCACATGGGGCTCGTTGCTGTCAGCCCATCAGTGCAGAGCCCGCTTCATGTTCTTCTGTCCCCTTTCTGCCCCCTCCCCCACTTGTACTCTCCAAAAAATAAATATTAAAAAAAAAAAAAAAAGAGTTGAATCATTTAGGACTCTGTGCAGCATCACAGGAACCCAGTCCAAACAAGCTTAAATTCAAAAGGGCATATTTGATTTCCTAGAACTAAAAATGTCTAGGAATAGAGTCAGGGTCCATCTCCTACTTCTGCTTCCTCTGTGGTGGTTCCCCTGTTGGGCTCACAGCATCAGACTTGGCATCTTCCCACACTCAGCTCTGCTCAGACAGAAGCCCTGCAGCTGTCTCTGGGTCTGTGTTGGTCTGGCTTTGGCCATGTGCCTGTCTCTAAGTCTGTCACTGACCAGGGTGGCTGGGAAACCCTGGGGTGGAGTCATTGACATCCAGAGCCTAGGAACTTGCTTCCCTAATAGCAGAATTCAAGTGTCGTTGCCACAGGATAAAAAGTAGGTGCTGAGTGGCAAAAACACAAAACTGAATCTCTTTTTATCTTTATAAGGTACTCATTTTCAGTTCTTGGACTATATTAGAGCCATTCTCCCAAGTCAGAAGACAGAATTCTCAAACAGAAATGCAGGGACACACAAATCTTGAGCAATTTGTTATAAAGTGCCCATCCTCCCCCCAATGTCAGGACTGTAAGAACTCCAGTTCGTTAACTTCTCAGGAGAGCATTCATTGAGCACCATGCTTCCAGGACACTCTATCAGGGAAAGGTCACTGGGGTAGCACAGGGTGGCAGGGGCACATACTCAGTACAAAATGGGAATGATAAACTCCTGATGGGAGAGGATGACTTCATGGAGATGACTTCATGGAGAGGGTGACCTCTGGGTTGAATTTTGATGAAAATAGGTGCCTGCACTCCAGGCACAGAGAATAGTTCCTGTGAAAGTTATTTGACCCGATGCATGACCAAGGGATTGCACATCATTAGGAGCTCCAGAAAGTCAAGTCCCAGAGGTGACAGTAGAAGGTAGAACCTGGAGATACAGCTTGGCGCCGCTGGGCTGTGGGTACCTGAGGGTGTGACCGGGATGCCAGGGTGAGGAATTTGAAGTCTGTCCTGAAGATGCAGCATGCTTTTGAAAGGCTGTTAAGTTGATGAGTGACAAGGTCAGGTTTGCATTTTGGGACGTTCATGGCTATATGTTGAACAGGTTGGGAAGTGTGTAGCCAAGACAGGCACTGAGGTATAGGTCCGTGTGGGAGAGAAGGGGAGAGGTGCCGAGACCCTGGGGTAGAGGTGGGGGTGTATATGCAGACTGACACACGGGATCTGAGTCCTGAGTCCCCGGCTCTCCTCCAAGGAGAGAAACTGCCTCTTCGGAGCTCCAAGGGCAAGATGACTTGAGCTGGAATTAAAGCAGAGTGGCCAGGGCGCGGCTCGTCTCTCTGTGCCGGGGGGAAGCTGCAGGCATCCAGCCATGTCCATCATTCTTTTTCTCTGTCTGCAAACAGTTAATTTACTCTTAATAGTTTTCCTGCCTTGAAAAAAGGGGTTCTGTTGACCCCTTAAGAATTTTGACTGTTGTTTATAAAGAAGTGAATGTCCTTTGCTTAGGAAGATTCTCATCTATCTTGAAACAGCATAGGACACTTTGATAAATAGCAACTAATTACTATATGTGTCATTTTACCAGTCCATTTAAAATATGTCTGTGTGTTTGGAGAACAGGCCGAAAGCAAGGTGTGCTCATATTATAGATTCACTCAACCAGTTCAGTTTGAATGGAGACATCTCTTTTAGGAAAGGCTTTATTTTGTACACAGCTCAGAAAACATTGCCCCCTCACCTAAATATTCAAACAAGTAAGATGTCATTCCCCTTTAAAGCTAATATAGCTTGGGGCGCATGTGTGGCTCAGTCAGTTAAGTGTCAGACTTCAGCTCAGGTCATGATCTCACAATTTGTGAGTTTGAGCCCCACATCGGGCTGTGTGCTGATAGCTCAGAGCCTGGAGCCTGCTTCGGATTCTGTGTCTCCTTCTCTCTGTCTCTCTCTCTCTCTCTCTCTCTCTCTCTCTCTCTCTCAAAAATAAATAAACACTTTTTTAAAAGGCTAATAAATCTTTATTTATGGGGAAGGCAGCTACAGGTCAGTAATTGCTACAGAATCCCCAAAACAAGGTTAAGAGGAAGGTGTGTGCTTTAAATAGCACATACCTTTTTCTGTCACTGTGCCATCGTATTGTTGTTTCTGCCTCTGCCTGATCCCAACCCCCCTCCCAGCCTGACAGGAGTGTTCGCTTCTGCAGCTAGCCCTGCCTCAGTGGGTGAGACATCAGGTCGATGTCCATACCAGCCTATGGGCACCCCTCCGATGATGGTACCTCCAATAGACAGTGAAGGAGGGAAATGTGAGGCTGTGTAAGAAAAGTGCACATTCCTTGTGAAACTAATGTGTACCCACCGCTGCTTCATTCTGTGCTGTGGATTTTATAGTCCGCGATGTGTTACTATCTGTTGTCCACAGGTGTTCTTCCTGTGTGTGGTTTTAGTTAAGCACATCCTGTCTCACGGTGTCCTTGGTCGTCTGTGCCTTTGCATACTACAGAAGGCGTGAGAAATCCCCCTCCTCTTCACAGTGCTCTTAGCATGTGGAATTTCACAGGAAACATGCCATTTGTATGTCTCTAAAACTTTTTAGTTGCCTGTTCATTTCATGTTTCTTTTTTTTCACAGGGGCAGGGTTCTCGCACATAAGCACTTTGAGGAGGGAAGCAAAGGGAAAAAGCTTGAGTTAGCCATTCTGTGTCCTAGAATTTCCCTGCATTAATCTTGTCCTTGAAAATATGTACGACCTATTCCCTTAAACCCCACGAGGCTCTGTCTCATTATATACCATCTATTTGATACCCTTTCCTATTTAACTTGCCTTTTGGTCCTGAGTTCTATAAAATACTGCCTTGGGTCTAGATTTATTAGAACTGATTTTGTCCACTGAGGATAAAAGGTGTCTTTTGGGATCGTGGATTGTCGTGCGCCATGTTTGCCACACAGCTGGGCTTTTGCCAACCACGTGACAGTGAGAGTGAGTCTGTTCTGTTCTGCCCTACTAGCACTATTCCTGATCCGAGGACTCCCGTTGCTTCAACGCACAGTGTCAGCAGCACAGCCACCCCAGACCGGCTCCGCTTCCCGCGGGGCACCGCCAGCCGCAGCACTTTCCACGGGCAGCCCCGGGAGCGGCGGACCGCCACGTATAACGGCCCACCTGCCTCGCCCAGCCTGTCCCACGAAGCCACACCACTGTCGCAGACTCGAAGCCGAGGCTCCACTAATCTTTTTAGTAAATTAACTTCAAAACTCACAAGGAGGTAAGTGCCAGGTGGTGCTGGTTGTTTGCAGCCAATGTAAGAGCAAAAGGAGAAACGTCTTCTCTGTCGTGTGACACGGCTGCCCAGATACTTTCCACTTTGTCTTTAGCTCGTGTTTTTCTGGTTTATATATAGAACTTTATACTTTAAAACCTTTTAGAATAGGAATTACAGAGCTCAGAGTCTTCCCGACATCAGAAGTCCCTCTAGCACTTGGGAGGTTGTCGTTCTCTTTAATTACTGTTCTTTTGATCACACATCTGCCCACATGCATGGTTACTGCAGCTTAGTGCAAGCTGGCACTTCGGAAGCCGTCCCCGAGGAAGACAGTGTGCGGTGCGGCCAGCCTGGACGCAGAGGAGAGAGACCTCTCTTCTCTCATGTCGTGCCAGCATCTCTGAGGAGCACTAAGTTTCTTAGGGTCTAAATCTTAAAAACTGTTCTCTCTTGGTCTCAGTAAGTTATAGTAAGAACAGAGTAACTTGCTTAAACGGTACAGTTTGGCGGATAAAATTCCTGATTTATTCTCACCAAGATATAGTAAATCTGCTTGTGTATAAAATCCTTCATGTGATACTTTTTCCCTTGAGGTATTTTGAACTTTATTTCCATAACCTCATCTGGAGGTTGCAAAGGCCTAGAATCACTGATGGCTATGAGAGGAGGAAGTGCCCCTTTGCACCATAAACACATAGGCCGAGGCACCGCCAGCTGGGCCCACACTCAGGAGACTGAGGGCCCCTGCACTTTCAGGACTCCCAGGAGAGATTTCTTCGACACTGAGCTTCACCGAGGATTAGTACGTCCAAGGCATCCTGCCGCTTTGCCCGCTGCAGACCCTCTTTTCATCTGTATTTTACTCAGAACAACAGTGGGGTCTTCTCCAAGCCTGAACTAGCTGGCGCCCCCTGTGGCTCACCAGCTGCCTGCTGTGTTTCCTTCCATTTTTGGAATTTAACCTGTAAGCCAAATACCGCATTTTCAGTCTCCTTAATTCGTCCAGTATTTTTATGTTCTTTTAGTATTTTTAGTCTTTCTCCGGGTACTCTGCTTATTGTCAGGACATGGCTACCAAGTTAGGAGGACTTCTGCTGTCTCTTATCATCGGCTGGAGGCCAGATAGGTGCCAGAAGTTACAGCGGCCTCTTGTTCTCTTCTCGGCTCCTTTGCTGAGACCCCCTTTTCCAAACTGGGCAGAGTGGTCTAAAGGACTTTGCCAAGTTTGGGGCACCCACTCGTGACCAGTAAAAGAAGCAGGGAGCTCAATCCAGGAAGAGTCTGCTGACCCCAGAATAATTCATTCCTTGTTTTTAGGATCATCCCATGGCCTGTCCCAGGCCTCCCTGTCCCCTAGTTGCTTCATTATGGACTAGGCTGAAATGGAATCTGTCTCCAAAACTTGGGTGGTAGGAGACGGAGCCCGGTATCATTCACCTGGCTGTTTGCCTTCCCGACTGAGCCTCATGTCGACGGGTATTTTGCCCTGTAAGAGCCCTGAGTGCAGAGGGGATATGCATCAGTCAGGTCTGTCTGAGATCTAGTTACAGGTCAGCTAGTTCTGTGTCTTTACACTTTGGTCTATGATGGGCTCTTTAGGTAAAACGTCATATGTCAGGGGCTCCTGGCTGGCTCAGGCAGTAGAGCACGAGACTCTAAATTTTTTTTTAACGTTTACTTATTTTTGAGACAGAGACAGAGCATGAACAGGGGAGGAGTAGAGAGAGAGGGAGACACAGAATCTGAAGCAGGCTCCAGGCTCTGAGCCGTCAGCCCAGAGCCCGACGCGGGGCTCGAATTCACAGACTGTGAGATCGTGACCTGAGTTGAAGTCGGACACTTAACCGACTGAGCCACCCAGGCACTCCAGTAGAGCACGAGACTCTTGATCTTGGGGATGTGAGTTCAAGCCCCACGTTAGGTGAAGGAATTACTTAGAAATAAAATCTGGGGGATGGCGGGGCACCTGGGTGGCTCAGTCAGTTAAGCATCCAACTCTTTTT